GATCAAGACACATGCAAAGTCCACCACGTGTGTGAAACTGACTGCTCCGCCCTGCACAACGGGAAGTCACCGCATAGGAAGGAGTTCTGCGGCAAGGGGTCATTGCGACCCACGGGTTAAACGTGCCAACAGTGTGACGCTAGCAAGAAAAGCAAACGTGATTCTGGGCTGTATTAACAGGTGTGCGGTGAGCAAGACACGAGAAATTCTTCCGCTCTGCTCTGCGCTGATGAGGCTTCAATTGGAGGATTGTGCCCAGTTCAGGGCCCCACGTTTCAGGAAAGGTGGAGAAACCGGAGAGGATCCAGAGAAGAACAACAAAAATGATTCAAGGTCTAGAAACCATGAGCTATGTGGGAAGGCTGAAAGAACTGGGTTTGTTTAGTCTGGAAGAGAAGACTGAGAGGGGACATAACAGCTTTCAAGTACCAAAAGGGTGTGTCAAGGAGGAGGGAGAAAAATTGTTCTCCTTGGTTTCTGGTGATAGGACAAGAAGCAATGGGCGTAAATTGAAGCAAGGGAGGTTTAGGTTGGACATTAGGAAAAACTTCCTGCCTGTCAGGGTGGTTAAACACTGGAATAAATTGCCTAGGGAGGTTGTGGAATCTCCATCCCTGGAGATATTTAAGAGCAGGTTAGACTGACACCTGTCAGGGATGTTCTAGATCAGTGGTTCCCAAACTTTTGGGCATTACGCCCCCTTTTTGATTTTTGAGAAACCCTCATGCCCTCTGCCCCAAATAGCAGCAAAATTTGTTGAGCAAAAAAAATAAAATAAAAAGGAACTGGCCTGGGGCAGCAACATTTAATGGGGAAGGGGGAGCCGCGGCGCCTCGCGGCGCCTCGCGCCCCCCCTGGAATTTCTTCATGCCCCCCCGGGGGGGGCACACACCCCAGTTTGGGAACCCATGCACTAACAGATGTATTGGAGCGTCCCCCCCGCCCCCGGAATTTCTTCATGCTCCCCAGTTTGGGAACCCATGTTCTAGATGGTGCTTGGTCCTGCGGTAGGGCAGGGGATGGGACTAGATGCCCTCTGAAGGTCCCTTCCAGCGCCAGTATTCTATGAATTCACAACCAGCAATGCTCTTGCCCCCAGCCCTGGGTGGGCAGAAAAGGATGCTTGGGAGGGGGGGCGAAGATGATCAGAAGAGAGGCGCTAGATCTGGAATGGGAGGAGCCAGCTCTTACCCGCTCCTGTGTTTGGGGGTTCTCGTCCCATCTCTGCTCAAGGTCCTCGCAAAGGGCGAGTTGACCAATAAGCCCTGTGCAGGCTGCGGGCCATGCACAGTCCTGGGTCACTCGCCCCCTTCCCTGGCATCTGGTTCGACTTCCAGTTGATCATCATGCCCTGGTAGGAGTGACCCACAGGGTCATTCCCCAGGGGCCGGGTTCCTTCCAGGGTATGGGCAGAATGTGGGGCAGTGGCTGCATGTTGCAGGGCGCAGAGTGGGTCGAGCACATAAGCAGCCTTCCCTCTGGAAGGAAACGTGGCTCTCGCTCGATGTCTTGCCACAGGGAGATGGCGGCTAGAGCCTCTTGGGGTCCCTCCTCAGATTGCATCTGCTCACTGTCCTGAAGTGGTCCCTGGACTCACACCCAGCGCGGTCTACTGCGGGACCTGCCCCCTGCGTGTTCCCTCTGCTCCCCCCCGGTAGCTGGGCCATTCTAGACAGCTGCCCTTCCCCGCACCCCCAGAACAACACAGGGACTCCAGGGAAATCTGCCCCCCTCAGCTTTGGCACGGCAGCCCAGGGTGCTGGTTCTAGCGCTGACTGCGGCCAGGAAGCCCTTCTCAAGTTGCTTCACCAGCCCTCCCAGCCAGATGGATTTGACTCCAAGGCCCAGCAGGAAAGGTGCTCTTCTGAGTTCAGCAAATGCCCAGGGGTATCTGTCAGCAGGGTGACCGATGTCGTGTATGACAGCCGCATGTACGGACTGGGGAAGGTACCGTCCGATCCTGTAATAACAAACCAGGCCCTGTTCCGACGGGCTCCCAGGTTTGGTTCATGATAAGATGCAGTCGGTGGAGGAAGGAACGACATGGACTGAGAGAGATGAACAAGTTCTTGTATAGGCGAGGGGTGAGGTTATTCCAGGCGTGTGGGAGTGCTCCAAAGGGCTAAAACCCACAGCAGCATTTCAGTCCCTCTCCTAAGCCAGCGAAGGTGGGATAAAACCCACCGGGAATCCAGCCAGGACGTGGTCACCACAATGTGGCCCATTGCCTCTGCAGGACGGCTACCCGAACGGCTGAACAGGCGGGGAGAAGCGCTGATTAAACCATCATCTGCACCGGGATATAGCTCTGCTGCCAATCGACTGCGTTCCACAGGCCTTGCCTGGAAAAATCTGATTTTCCTGAAGGCTGCCCCACAGCCCAGGCAAACAGCCTGTGTACCTGGGGCTTCATAATCCAGGCATTCAGTACAGCTGGTCCCCGAGTTACGAATGCATCGACTTACAACCATTCGTATTTGCGACCAACCTCCTATACAACCGGAACCCAAGTTCTGAACAAAATCCACACTTCTGAACAGCGTGGCCGTATGTAATCCGACTTACGAACAGATCGAGTTACGACCTCATGTTTGGTACGTAACTCGTTCGTAAGTCGGGGACCAGCTGTTTTATGAAAAAGCATTGTGAGGTCTGCTTTGCCTTAAAACCGCTGCATAGCTACCGCTGCCCGTTGCTCCAACTAGCTGGTGGTCCTTATTCAACCCATTCTGCTCACCCGGAGCAGCATCTGGAGCTGCTTTTGCAGAAAAACTTGCCAGCTGTCTACACTGGCCCTTTTGCGCAAAAGGGCCAGTGTAGACAGCTGGCAAGTTTTTCTGCAAAAGCAGCTGCTTTTGCGGAAAAGCATCCGTGCCAATCGAGACGCTCTTTTCCGCAAATGCTTTTAACAGAAAACTTTTCCGTTAAAAGCATTTGCGGAAAAGAGCGTCTCGATTGGCACGGATGCTTTTCCGCAAAAGCAGCTGCTTTTGCGGAAAAGCATCCGTGCCAATCGAGACGCTCTTTTCCGCAAATGCTTTTAACAGAAAACTTTTCCGTTAAAAGCATTTGCAGAAAATCCTTCCAGTCTAGACATAGCAAGAGAGGCGTGACTTCTGCTGTTCGACCGACAGCTATTTCAGCGGCCACAGAACCGAAATGGGTCAGCTGTCTCCTCCAAATGCATCTCAACCGTGCCCGACGAATGGATCGCTAAGCCCAGGCAACAGGGATTGTACGCCTGTGGGTCCACCCTCCCCAGGGCTCAGCAGTGCTGCAAGCACACAGCCTTGCCCCAAGCCTGGCTGCAATTTTCAAATCAAGACGGGGGGGAGGGGGTTTCTAAAAAAAGAGGGTCCTGTTCAAATGAGTTATTTTGTGGCGTGTCCCACTAGGCAATGCGATTAGATGGTCTGGCTTTGGAAACGATGCAACCCTTTATCACGTCTCCAGGAGCTGGGGGCGTAAGGAAAGTTGACGTCTTTATTTCTGACCGTCTGCCAAAGCCTTGTATTAACAGAAATGCATTCACGGATTCTTATTTTTTCAATCAAAATGTGATTTAGATGGAAAAAATTAAGTGTTGTTCCTCCTTGTGCTTTTTTTAAATCAAAATTCCAAGGTCCTGGAATAATCTGAGTGATAATCTGAGTCTCTTCACTTTTATTTAAACAAAAGGTTTCTGGCCTTCATAGTATGCGCAAAAGCTTGCAAATGCGACCTGCGAGCTCAAAGCACCAGAAGGCAAAAAAGCCCTAACAGTATGAATGTAAAAATAAATCTGTTTTTTTTTTCAACCAGTCTCATGAGTGTTGTGTGGGATTTGCGATTTATGAGCGTTGTGGGGTGGCATGGGGTTCCCTCCTTAATCTCAGGGACTGCAACAACAAAAGAAGCCAGGAGAATCTGAAAGTGAAACTAGCAAACAGTTAACTTTTCACTCTAAACTGAGCCAGTTCTAGGTGGAAAAACTAAAAGTTTTCAAATGAGATTTGAAAAACCCTTTCATTTGTCTTAGATTTAGCCTGGCATTGGGGCCGTGCTAAAAATCAGACCAAGTTTATAGGCCCCAATGCTGGCCTGCCTTAAAGCTGAGCAAGCATGGAGGGGATTGGTCAGCCTGGATTTAGTTTTGCCCAGCTGTGCCAGCAGCTAATGTTTCTGGCGTGACTGCAAAGAAAGCCACCACCACCGAACAGAAACCGGGGGGGAGGGATGAGAAATGGTGACTCCATGGGAGGGAGGAGCAGAGGTGTCTGGCTTTGGGCTTGCAAAGCCAGCAGCAGCCTGGACCCAGGCGTGGTTTATTGAACCCGCCCAAAGCTGGGGGCAGGCTCAGAGAAAAGCGGCTGGTTAGTGGCTTTTCGCGAGCAGGAGTTTTTGGCTCGGCGCGGCAGGGAGGGAGCGGAGCGGGTGAGAGTATCCCTGGTGCAGCCAGGAACAGCCTGCTCTGTTTGTTTGCGCAGGGCTGGCACAGGGGACTC